AATGCGCGGTTTTTTAGAATTATCTGTTTGCTACATAATGTAACAAGACATTGTTTTTTGCTTGTGTGTTTTAAATATTAATAAGTGAAAAAATCTAAAGAAAAGAAAATAGATATATTTTACAATCACAATTAATGTAAGTCTTTTCTCACCAGATTTTAAATAGGAAATTGATTTACGATATTTGAAATGACTGATTGTTTTATAATTCTCATTGAAAAACATGGTTCTTAAATCTTACATAGATTGCTGCAAATTGTAAATGTGAATTTAATTCTTATTCAAAATCAATTTCTGCAAAATCGATGACTGTGCTATAGGAACGTAGTTCGTTTTATTTTTCATTTATCTTTTATTAATCAAAAATATTTCTCAAGTGTCCATATTACCTTTTTACAGTTTTTTTTGCAGAGACATTGCAATTTCAATATGATGATTTAAAAATGTGTAGATACATTTCAATTCGGATATATTAGAACATACAAAAGAATTTTTTTTAAATTCATAAGTACTTTAAATAGTTTTTTCTCGATTTGTAGTGCTGACATATGTATGTACACACATGTTTATTCGTATCTTTTAATTTAATTAGCAGTTACCATAACACAAACTTGTAGTTGTAAACCGCGTCCATGAAATTTCAAAAATTTACAAAATTAATTTTTATAATTGCTTTATAATAAAGCAGTTTCAATCCGTTATGTATTTTAGTAATTAATTAGCAATAAATTAAAAGTAAACTCACAAAATCAAAAATTTTTTTTGGGTATTGAGAAAAACCGCAGTATTTAATGAAATTTTATATTATTTTTAATTGTCGAAAGTTTTGTAAGCGTAGTGATGAAATTTTATACTAAAAATATTTTTAAATTTTTACATAAAATAATGGGTTTCAGCATTTGAGGTAAAAAGTATTTCAATGATAGGTGGGAATAATTTTTTACGGTTGATTAAAATGGTGGAAAAAATGAAAAAGTTTAATTATTTAATTTTGGAATATTTTTTAACATATGATTTGTTTAAAAATGTATCGAAATTTACTAAATTTTTTGTAGCAAATTTTTATATCTAAAGTGATTCAAGAATGTTATACATTTTAGTTTACAGCAATATTTCTCTACTTTTTTTTCTCTCATGGCCCCCAAAACAATTAATTTGCTTACATGGTCCTGCACATTAAATAAATTTAAACCATTTCTGATGCGGATAAGAAAATTTCCTTATATCTGCCATTAAAACAAAGAGTAAAATTTTTTGCAATAAATAAGAGTGAAATTTTTGTAAGCATTGAAACTATAATGATTTAGCTGCATCATCACTATAAAGTACTTTGCAGTGCTTATTTGCCTGTCGTACTTTATAGTGATAATCATTGTCGGAGCACGTACTTTTGGAATACTTTTTTAAATTTTTTTTTGCTTTAATAAAAGAAATAAATGTTTTTCTATTTGATAAAAGTAAAAAAAAAATGCTAATAGTTTAATAAATTTGTCTAAGATTACGTAACCCAGAAGCAATGCATACTTATTACAAATATTTGTAAATTTGCTCAGTAAAAAGTTATAAGCCATCATCGTAGAAAGAATCTCTCCATTTTTAAACAAGTCCACACAAATAATTTTAAATTTACTGTTTACGAAACTATTTTTGACCAGCTTTCATAGCAATGTCTGATACGATTTCTCTAAAAATAAGTGCACAATTAATGTTAGAAGATAAGAGCAAACGTGTGCACTCTTACTTTCTAGCTTTATGGCTATAATTTTGTTTCGTGTGTGAGTGTTAACGCGACATTATCTATCAAAACGAGTAAAACCTTTGTTTATAATTTGGTCTCAGTAAAAAAGTTTTCTCTAAAATTAATTGCATTACTATAAAAAACTTAAAGCTCACACATTTTTTTTTCCAAAATGTCGGTTCATAAAAATTTCATCTTCTTTTTTGAATGGCTTTTTTGATTAAAAACTACTAATAATTGAAAAATATAGCACTTAAAATTATTAAAAATCAAAAATAGCGACAATGTTTGAGGTGATTTTTTTTTTATGAAGTCCTTTAAAGTTTTAATATACACGAATGACTTGCTACATCTTCTAGACCACAAAAGACATGATAACGTTTGATGATTTATAACTATCTAAATAACTGTTTGTATTAGTTTGATGAATTAAAACTTAGTGTCAGGAACGAATTTTATAAAAACAAATTTTAAAGTTTCAAAAAATTTCATATAAAACTATCAAAATGAAGGAAATTAAAACAATGAAAATAAAATAGTTCATAAAACATTGATAGTTTTTAAAATATACAATAAAGTAATAGGTAATTGTGAACCCTATATAAGTCCCTTCAAAAACGTCTGATTTTAAACTTCTGCAGCTTTATAAGCTGATAAGACAGAAATTATAGCTAAAGCACGAGAGTAATACCTGTATCTTCCAAATCATCGAGCTTTGATTCCTGAACAAATGTTTTACCCATATTTGACTCTCTAAACGATGGTATATAATACTAAATTTAGAACTATATTACCACGTATAAAAAATATTATTATTATTCATGAACACAATAAAGCAGAATAACCTATTATGATAACTCTGACGAATTTTTTTTAATGGTTCTTGTAATAAGAAAAAGAAAACCTTTCTCCGTCAGAGCGCGTTAAAAAAGCTTGCAATGAAACATTGAACACATCGTAAAAATTTGTAGTAGAATATTCAAAAAGTCAAAAAATAAATTTGGATCAAAATCCAAGGTTTATGAAGTAGCACTTTTCCCTTGAACAAGTGAAAATACCGTTCATAATTAAAATCAATCTACTCATTATGAAAAGTACTTTCATTCATTTACCAGAATATGAATATCATACCAGATGACAAAAACAATAAACAAAAAGTAATTACATTTTTGATGGCATAGCGTTTGCAGTTATCTACCTGTTTTTATAGGAGTTTGGAAAAGCTTAAAGTTTCGAAAACATAAATCGCCGAAAATTCTAATTTTAGGAACTAATAAATAGTTTATTAATGAAATAAACTATTTATTAGTTTCTAAAGCGCTTCCACTGCTGCTAAAACTCCTACGAAGAAAAACTTACGAAGAAAAAGCTCAAAAACTGGAGAAACATGGGCTCTAGATAATGGTTAACTTCCATTTTTTTATTTTAATTAAGTTCAACTATGCTGTTCCATGGTAGAAAAAGCATGCCACTTCCTTTTCTGCGGTTGCCGAATTTAAAATTTTGTATGAATGTGGTACAATATTCAATAATATTAAAAAATATGATTTTTAAGATTTTGAGGCGCTATAACTTTTATAGGGGAGGCAATAGGCAATAGATACTTATTTTAAGATACCATAAACATATTTTAAAATTTTGTTAATGAAAAAAAGTAGTACGGTTTTTTCTACCGCGGCACAGCATAAATAAATACTAAAAAAGTAAAATGGTGGCTAAAACTAACCGTTATCTAAAACCCCTTATTTTCTAATTTTTGATAACGTTTTTCTACTAGACTCTTAGTTGTAGGGGTCTGAAATTCTAGCAGCTTTTAAACACTAATAAAAAATTCTTTTCGTTAGCAGAACATTTTTTTCCCTTCTTAAGATATCGATTCTTGAAATTTGGAAAATTCGAATTTTTCAAATCTTCTATTTTCGAAACTGCAAGCTTTTCTAAATTTCTGTAAATGCAAAAAGTTAATTGTAAATGCAATGCCATAAAAAAATATAAGAAATATTTTTCTTAACTCAAGCAATTACTCTTCAAATTCGCGTGTTATGTTGACGGCTCCTTTAATATTATTTTTTACCTCATCCTAAATGTGTGCAATCTGAGACATATATATATGTATATTATATATGAATGAAACTATCTTAAATAACATAAAAGCTAGATTGTTTTTAATTAAAATGTTAATAGCTCGATTACATTTTCACATGTCGAAGGAAAAAGTGTTACTCTACAAACCATTGGTTTAACCCAACTTCATTATAATTTACTGAAGATATTATGCGTTTTGGATAGAAAAACGGGTAGATAATTAGATAGTTAACGGGTAAATTGATCAATATGCTTAACATACTTTTTCAAAATTTTAAAATTTAAAAGCCCAGTATATACTAACAACTTAAAAACTACTTTTGTTTTTTGAAATAACGTTTCAAAAATAACACCAATTTCGAATAAGTTATTGGAAAAATATCTTATCGCATATTTCTCTATTATACAAATTAGATATTTGGCTTTACAAATATGAACATATGATGTGTTTGTGTTCAATATCTTAGTTATCAAAAAAAAAAAACTGATGTGATCAGCACATAACCGACCGCAATGTGTATTGCCTAGTTTAGTGAAAGCGTGAAGAATATGAAAATGCCTTTTAAAGACTTCCTTCAGTTTTAAGGAAGTTGTAAGTTTCTAATTAACTTACCTAAAAAAGTGTAAATTTGGCTCTTAGTAGAATTTCGCTTTGTGCCACTCGAATTCCCTAAAAAGTTCCCCTACTAGTTTCGGTAACAGCCAGAACTCAAATATAAAATTTCAAGAAATCCTATCCGTGGGATATGGTAAAAAATGTAAAATCGGACCCCAGTTCAGTTTCCGAATATTAAATTTCAATGATATTGGTTGATTATTTCTCTTTACATATGCAAAAATGTAAACTTGGCCTGCATATAAAATTTCATCAAAACCGGTACAGCCGAGCTTGAGATACAACCGTACACACATACCAACAGATCGGCAGACTCACAGTGACAGACAGTCTTTAAAAATAGTTTATTTACACTTTCCTACTATGCAGAAATGCGTTTCCGCCGAAAACTCGACATCCGAAATGTGGCGCCATCACATCACCTCCCTTTTTGTACGTAATGCGGTCGGTAATAAACAAAAAATAAAAAAGATAACATCGCGTTATCATTGCTTTTAGCGATTAGAAATACAACATTAGTAATTAAGAATTTCGCAAGACTATTCAGTCAGTAAACGTAGCTAAAGCTTTCACGAGCTTGTTAAAACGATCACTATTTTTGATACGATCGTAAGTTAAATATTTTGATATATTGGTTTTTAAAACAATTATTATGTGCATATTTGAATATTTTCTGTAGAAAAGTAGCTCAAATGCTTAATGTAATAAAAAATAACTAAATTTTTAACAATAATTTTGATTATTTGAAAAACTAATTTTTTTTTAGTTAGTTCATAAAATTTTATAACTTTGAACGAAATGCGAACACGTGGGACTCTGTGTCTAGTGAAACTTTTAATTGCCGCATTTATTGCTATAACCATAGGTTTAATTATAACAAGTTGGATTTTGCCAAATGACGAATTGACATATAAAGATAAACTCAAAGCTGATACATGGCATTTCAACGACATCCTTGGAAGAAAAGAAGCGCAGATAGAGTTTGCTGAAAATGTTAATCAAAAATTTATTCAGAACGAAGAGATGAAAGTAAGAACCGCCGAAGAAGAAGAATTTGAAAAACAAAACCTTCCGCCTATTGTTCACAACATTGAAAGTGCCAAAAATGCGAAATATTTACAAATTCAAGAGGATTATGGTGAGGATCGAATAGATTGGCATGATAGAAATTATATGGAACAAGAGAAACTTAAAATCGGAATAGGAGAACAAGGAAGATCAGCTCAACTTCCGTCATATGAAACTGAAAATGAAAAATTAATATTTAGTCAGAATGGTTTCAATGGTTTATTAAGCGATAAAATCTCATTGAATAGATCTTTACCGGATATTCGTTACGAGAGGTATTTAATTTTCCTATTTGTAAAAATCGAATTCACTGTTTTTATCAATTATTTTACTTTTTAGTTGTAATTCAAAAAAATATTTAGCAGCTTTGCCAACTGTTAGTATCATTATTCCATTTTATAATGAACACTGGAGTACATTACTACGGTCTGTTTATAGTTGTTTAAACCGTGCTCCTTCTCATTTGATTAAAGAAATCATTTTAGTAGACGATTGTAGTGATAAAGAATTCTTAGGCAAACAACTAGATGATTACGTTGCAGAAAATTTGCCCAAAGTTAGAGTAATTCATCTTCAAGAACGTAGTGGATTAATTTTGGCTAGGTTAGCTGGCGCAAGAAAAGCAACAGCAGATGTTTTAATATTTTTAGATTCGCATATTGAAGCAAATTATAATTGGCTGCCTCCTTTATTAGAGCCAATTGCTCTAAATTCAAAAACATGTGTATGTCCCTTTATTGACGTAATAGATCACACTACTTTTGAATATAGGGCTCAAGATGAAGGTGCCAGAGGAGCGTTTGATTGGCAATTTTTTTATAAAAGGTTACCATTGTTACCTGAAGATTTAGTAGATCGAACAAAACCATTTAGGAGTCCGATAATGGCTGGCGGATTGTTTGCAATTGGAAGAGACTTCTTTTGGGAACTTGGAGGTTATGATGAAGGTTTAGATATTTGGGGTGGCGAGCAATACGAACTTAGTTTTAAAATTTGGATGTGCGGTGGTGAGATGCTTGATGCACCTTGTTCACGTATTGGTCACATATATAGAGGTCCTGCAGCCTTCAAAAGAGCGAGAACCACTGATTTTCTTCATAAGGTATATGAAAGTATAGTTGGTTTTTAACTTATAAATAATTAAATTTTAATTTATTTTAGAATTACAAGCGAGTTGCTGAAGTATGGATGGACGAATATGCAAAATACCTTTATGATCGAGATCCAGAACTTTACAAGAATATTGATGCTGGTGATCTGACAAAACAAAAAGCTATTAGATCAAAACTAAAATGTAAGTCATTTAAATGGTTTATGGAGGAAATTGCCTTTGATTTGCCAAAGGTATATCCTCCTGTTGAACCACCAGATTTTGCTTTTGGTGCAATTCAAAGTGATTCCAATCCGAATTTATGCCTTGATACTTTAAATGGTGGAATAAATGAAGAAATTGGGCTATACCCATGTGCTCAAAATTTGGTTAATCCTCAATTCAATCAAAATTGGGCTTTAAGTTGGCATAAAGATTTACGTCTTCGGCATAGAACTACATGTTTGGATGTTTCACAAGGAAGTAAGAATTCTCCTGTTGTACTATATGACTGCCATGGTCAACGTGGTAATCAACTTTGGTATTATGATGTTGAATCAAAGTGGCTCTTACATGGTGGAAATAAAAGATGCTTAGAAGCTGCACCAAAAGTGATGAAAGTTTATGTGAATAATTGTAATGAGTTAAATTTAAATATGAAATGGAATATTGGTTACGTAAATTTAACTGCACTAAAAAATTATGATAAAGATTAAGGAGATTTATAAATTAAGTTATTCATAACTACATTATTAATATTAAGTTAAATAGTCTTGAGCCACTTTTCACTTTTAAATCTTAAAAACATTTTGGAAAAATTGATTTATGAATGTGCTAAACCAAAAACTTGTCAGTTGAATTTCAGATTTTCATTTTTTAATTCAGTATTATTTAAATTCAATGAACATGATATTGTAATAACGGGTGTTTTAGAAATATGTATGTGATAGGAAATGAGTAGTTGCATGTATAAATTTGTTTATAAGTACTCGTTAAATTACTGTATATATGTATAATAAGAAAAAATTTCCAAAATATTAAATGAATTTTACAGAAATATAAAAATATAATTTTGTTTGAATATCAGTCCTAAATATTATTTAATGCTTTAAACAGCTAAAAACTTTACATTATTACAAACTTTTTAAACGACTTAATGTAAGAGTTTTAGAAAACAATTTTACTTTCACAACGTTTTTCTTTTTACATTTAAATTAAAATGACCTGAATATCTTTAAAAGTTAACATACATGGCAAACGGAACAAAAGCTTTATATGCAGACTCAGATTTCCTTACTCGGTAATCCAATAGCTTAAACTTTAGCCTTTCTATTTTGTGGTTTCGGATAATATTTTTGAAATTCTACTGCTTAACACTTTTCGGACTGTTATTAAAGAAACAGTCATGCTTTATAAAAACAATTGCTCCTTTTAAAAATATATGAAATAACGCAGATGATCAAAAAATTGGAAAAATGCTTTTTATATGCTCGACACGAATTTATTTTTGTAAACTTCGTATTAAAATTAACAATGTCACTATTGTGAATTTTCATGTTTTATGCTTGCAATAGACCTGCAACTTTAATAAATTTCATATATTGTACGGTTTTTACAAATTCTGGTATAGTGCAAGCGTACATATAACCATACTTTAAATCTTGACGAACATTTAAATTAAACCATTTAATTTTATTTTGGATATCCGGACAAATTTTGTAATGTTTTTCGATTTCTTCCATCGAAGCAAATGGATTATTAACACCAATTATAGCAATTCCATCATTTGTATTTTTATCGATTATGATTTTATAAAAAAGTTTTGGAATGGGTATTTTTTTTTTCTGCCCTTCGTTGTACAAAAATATTGGAACCATATCATTAGAATCAGACAATAATTCTATAGTACTATATGTTCCAGTGTAAATTTCTAAATTTCCATTATGTTTTGAAGCAAATTTCCTCAAATTCTTTTCCAACGCAACCCAATTAAATGAATTGAATGAATACCATTGTGGAGCTACGTTTACGTAATAGAAGGTTGCCAATTGTTGTGGAGCATAAATAAAGTCAGCCATTGCGGCTAAATGACCACGAGCAATACTGTTATCATGAAGATATTGACTGGCTGATCTTATACCTAGAGATTTTTCAAATGTTTTTGTTTGTATATATTTTGAATAAAGACGGGATACATTGAAATTTTTATGAAAATCGCCTTCTTTAAAAAACTCTCTTGTAACATTCATTTGAAATTCACCACTATACGGACCCAATTCATATTTTGAATATATTGATCTTTCCTCAGCTTTGTTATAACAGATTTCCATTAATTTATAGAATTTGGTTGCAATTTCAAAACCAATTTCTAATATAAAAGCATCATTACGAAAATATTGGCATTTTTTATTTGTATTACGAGCTGTCTCAATGTTACGATCTTTGCATTCAAGGTATTTATTGATATCATCCTTACCGCAAGTTAAAATTACATTTTGAATTTTTGTATCAATTTTAAATGATCTTTCACAATAAAGTTGAATTTGTTCACCTGGATTCAATAGAATTTTACGATTTCCATTTGGAAACAGAAATTCATTAGTTCCAGGTTTAACAAATAAAGGTTGATTGATTGTTAAATCTTGAATGTTTATTGTACAAGTAGCAACATCTGTTTAAATATTAGAACAAAAAAACTTATTCTGAATATTTGTAATAATTATTAAATCAAGCTTTATATATCAATATTAAGTTCTCTTACATGCATTCACATTATTCCAATTGTGTAACGCCAAAATGCCGATTATTAACAATTTGTTCATGATTAATCTTGGAAATTCTAAGTTCAACTGAAAATACAATTTGCTTTATATTTCAAGCAATTGAAATACTTCTAACTTAAGTTCAGATGTAAAATTTCGAATTGTGAAATTCCCGAATATTAAAAAAATTGCTTAATATTTACTGTTTGAAAACTGTTGATACATACTGAGAAAAATTAAAGTGTATGAAAAAAAATTTTCATTTGGAAACTTGGTAAATTTATTAAAATGTGCTAGCCCAAAAATTTTAGCTATAAAATAAAACTGCCTGTTTTATAATTACGATTGCAAAATAAATATTGAAATCAAACTTTTTTGTTGCTATATAAATTTTTATATTTCTTTACAAACATACTTATATTCTCAGAAAAAAACGTGACAAATGGAGCAGGGGTTATGGCATCGGTCCTTTAACCGAAGGATCTCACGTTCAAACCGGTCAAGTCACTATAAAAATTAAATGCAATATCACATAGCTTATAATACATGTGTTATACTTTTAAAATAAATAACTAATATAAAACTAATTACCATATTTCAATAAAAATTTTAATTGTTTTATATTAGCTAAACCATTGAGCCTTTTCAAATATATATTTATCAAAACAGAAAACTGACAGTTAATGTTCTTCCTTCCGAAATTCCCTGTTTGTTTACGAGTAGTGTATTTAAAACTACATTGATTATATCTAACCAAAAGCGTGTTGGCTAATTATTTGCACTTTAGTTTTCAAATCTTAAAATCATTATAACTGTTTTAAATGGAAGTAGTGATTAAAGAATAATTTAACAATAAATTTTTTAGCCACTTTTGTAATTTTCAATATGCCCCCAACTCTATACGTTAAGCGAAAAAAGTGAGAGTTTATAACACAGAGTAAAAATGGCATCCATTTTCAATAGTTAAAACTTCGAATTGAGTGACGTAAAAAATAATGGAACTGAAACTAACTTTGATGAAATACATATATTAACGTTAAATTTTTTGTTAGCTCAAATTTAAAGTACTTTTTTTTTAAATAATTACTCAAAGTAAATTATACATGTGTGCCCACGTAATGTATTAAAAATCTCCTAATGGTTTTGAAACAGATGTTTTCTGCAGATTAGCTTTTCTGAAACAGTTGTTTTTTGTTTGAACAAATATATACATACGGTAATATTTGTACATATGTACATATATATTCGTATATGTATTAATGCAAAAATAATATTAAGATTGTAAAATTTGTTTTAAATGAAAACAAATCTTATTCGACGTGTCGAACAAGATTGAAGTTATTCAAAATATGCATATAAAATGAAACAAGAATTAAATTCTAATATCTGTACAAAAGTTACTTGATTTATAAAAACTGTATTCACTAATTTATAAATTGTTCCGAAAACTCTATTCGAAAGTTTTTTCCGCAAGTAAAACAATGACAAAGTAATACTCGATCATAGATTGGGTATGATTGCAAATTCAGATGATAAAATTTGGGTTCTCTTCAGTAATTATTACGAGTATTAATTAATACTTTTGTTTAAATATAGCTTTCGAAAATACTTACATTAATAAATGCTCTGGCAATAAAAAAGGCCACCTCAGCTTTACACATTGTGTCGAATTGCTTAAAAAAAGAAAAAGTAAAAAGTTATCATAGTGCTAGAAATAAAATATAGTTTAAGTAAAAACAAGTAAAAAAGTTACTTCATTCGGTTTTATCAATATTTAATAAAAGGCTTGAGAAATTGCGGGACTTATTTTTAATTATGGTGCTAAAAATTGTAGAGTTTATCCGGCCAGCTTTGATAATTCCTTTTCAGATTATTCTAAGATATTTTTTGGAATGTGAGATCTTTTAGGAACGATTTTTAAGAAAACTCCAGAAATTTGGAGCCTCTGGTAGTTTTCCTTGTCAACTGAACTTTTCAATGCCAAATACACAGGTATGCGAATATCATAATATTAAGTTAAAATTCATTTCAGAATAAGAATACGTGCCTTATGAGTTTGAAATGTATGGTTCATATAACTATCTCATGAGGGGGTTTGCAGATATACTCATTTTCTTTACAACCTTTACAAAAATGCACAAGCCTTTTGCTTTACAGGGATTAATTGTTCTTTATTTTCGGTCTTACAATCAATTTTATTTGAGTAATAGTTTTAAGATAAAAGTTCTGAATGTCAGAATTTTTGTTTTTTTTTTTTTAAGAAACTTGAAATTATCTCGAAAAATTGTGTTGGTTTTTTTTTTCGATGCGTTATAATGAGAGTTAAAAACTAATGTACAAAAAAGTTTCCCCTATTTTTCATAGTTGTCCCAGTAAAACGTGTTAAATGTGTTTACAAACATTGGAAAAATGCATAGTTCATACATTTCATACAAAATCCTTATTTTGCAATATATTTAACTAAAAATATTTAGTGTATGTTACGTTTTATTAACTAAATCGCACAAATGATAAAGCGAGTGTGAATAAGACCGGCCACTATCGATATAACGGCCATAGTACTTTCGTTACAAAATCGGTAAACTAAATGCATATCTGCTGATTTTTCCTTCGAATAATCCATCTTTTTGGTTGAAAATCGTTTTATTCGTATGGTCTATAGTGGGACTTTGTTATCTGTACATAAATAGCTGTTAAATTTATTGCGGAGGGATAACAAAATTCAAAACGCACTAAGTATTTTATGCTAAGTATGTATAAAACAACATATGACCAAGTACAGTAGCAATTATAACAATAAATATTTTCAATTTAACAGGTATAATAAAATCTGTAATCATAAAATGCGGTTAATACAGTTTCACTAAGAATCGGGATTCAGGAGAAAAAATATCAATATACGCGCTAAGTAATTCTATATGTGCAATAAAACCCATAATTAAAATACAGTAGCAATAACAATCGGGATATTTACTTGCAAAATGATGAGAGATAACATAACAAACTAATAACATAAATGTTCAAGAAAATTCTAGTTTTTTAAAAAAAAAATTTAAAAATAAACAACAAAAATTCTGAATCTTATGAGCTTTATCTCGAAAACTATGGCTCGAATCAAATTTATTATAGGACCAAAAATAAGAAGCAATCATAATCACCTGCATATTTTTATATGCTCATAACTTAATAACAGACTTAATAACAGACTGTAGCTTGAAAACGAGTATATCTACCCGCTCCCTCCGCCTGCTCTGAAATCATCCCTGAAATTATTAATACCTTATATTAAACACCCTGTGTTAATTGAGAATTTATTCAAAATTTATTCATGGTGTGTAGAAAAACTTTACTAAAAATATTTAATGCTTTAATATTAGAGTTGCTACGTTTGGGTTTTATAGAAAAATAATTTTTGTTTTTTCATTTTGTAGAGCTGTGAAAAATTTTGCAAAATAATTTTTTGCTTTAAAGTTGATAACCTTACCCTGTTGGTGTTAAAAAAACTCAAACAAATTAATTATGTATTAGTAATTTTTCTGTTGATTACTAATGAATTGATTCATCACTATAACTAATATCAATAGTTATTTCAAAATGCCATGAATACACAATATTTGCGTTCCATTTACGTGCGCAAACTATCATGAGTAGAACAACTACACTACCTCCGATAAATGTGTAGATGATCATTGCCTTTACGATATTTTTTCCTGTAGATGGAAATAGTATTTCTAATCTCTAACAGATGGATTTTGTGTTTACGGAGCTATTTTGACATTTAATTTTAATATTTTAAGTGTCCTCTTTTTTTTATTAAATTGCAAAAATGAATGTAAAAATGGTTATAGCAAAAAAGTTAAGGTTATGTTTTGCACATATACCGAAGACCGTTCCATTTACAAACTACAAATGAATACTCTTGAGTAGTTTTAAAACGTAAATAGAACCCAAATATTATCAATCTAATATTTTGACTTTAGTTTTATAAAAGTTTTTGAAGGTTTTGTTAGAGAGCTGTTTATTTTTTTAAAGTCCCTTTTTCAACTACTCACATGACTAAAATCTGGCATACAGCAAAAATTTGTTTTATAAAAATGGTTGAATACACAATTGACATCTGTGTAAAGCTTAGTTATCCAATCATTAGGAACATTGTATATGAAAATTTACATTACTTATTAATACGTTAACTCTGTGTAAGACTGGATAGCTGTGCAAAATATTATATGACAAATGTATATATTCGTAATATGACAACAAGGGAATTGAAAAGGCGGAATTTCAATTTGGTAAAACAATACAGACGGAAATATTGAAAAAGAATGCAAAAGAAAGGAAGTACGAAAAATCAAAAATTATTTTTTTCTTTCTTTTCTTTATTTGAAGTCAAAATTTAAAATTTTTGTTATTTATGAAAATTACGGTTATGGTAAGGTAAGTCATTTTCTTTTACGTTTGAAGAAAATGGTTTAAAGAGGGTTTGAAATTCTTTTAAATAAACTTTCTGATTAAAACAAATACGAAAAAAAAAGTCAGAAAAAGTGTTTTTGATTTATGCAAAAATTTATTGAAAATTCTTAGCAATACTCGTATATAAAATCAGTCAAATTAACATAAAGAAAAAGTAAAGGAAATTCATCAGAAAACAGTTTCATTACTAGTAAATTGTTTCTACTTGTGATAAGTTGAAACTGAATAACAAAATAGAATACAAAAAAACAAAATAATTTAATTTTAGTGCAAATTATATAAACTACGACAATTTGTAGCTATTTCAATCTAATGAGTTGAATCAAACTATGATCTAATTTCTGTTATAACAAAACTTGTATATGTAGCTACAAAAAAATATCTTTTCTAAATAAAAAATTCCTATAGAACAAGAACCTTGATTTGAGTCTGGTCTTACTGCAACGTTGTAAGGCGATATTATTAAAAAGAATCCTATTTCCAAATAGTTAACAAGAACTGAAACAAATAGATATCGTTTCCTATTTATTTTTAATTGCAACGCAACAGTAAGTTTTGACCTTAATGTGCAATAAAATAACAATTTTGTGAAATTTTACTTGTTTGGTTTTGTTAAGGTGAACCAAAATCGAGAATTTTAAGATTTGATTATACGATTTGCATGTATTACGACATTCAAAAGTAAGTTTGTATTTTCAATTAATAAAGCCAGAGAATTAATTCCAGCAGTACATTTTGAGTTTGAGAGTGAAACTTTTTAATTTTGGAATTACGAGTATATAACAATTGATAATCGAATTCAGGATTACCCTAAAGCATATTGAATAAATTACCCTTGTGCAAAAAATTTTTTTTTGTTTCTTTTTTGTAAAATAAATAAAGGGAAAGCGTATTAAAAAGATAATATATTCTGCGAAATATTGATAGAAATTAATGAACTTTGGTTTTGTTTTAATAACAATGAGGGATAGACGATGAAAATGTCATCAATTTTGAATAATAATATATTATTATGAAAACAAATTCTGTTTATGGATTTTGTTAATTAAAAATTATTTTAATATTGGAGAACCACACCATTTATATCACAGAAATTGCAAAGTGTAAATGAATAGATGTGGAAATTTTAATCCAAAATAATAATGTTAGGTTGGTCAATATAGAAAAAGCTCGAAAATATTTTTCGTTTAAATTGAACACAACATATAACTACGGCTACAAGCACGCATATGAACATATTTATGTACTTAGATTGTGTAAAAAGTTCTTTGCAAATATAGAAAGAAGTTTTAGCATGCAGTAGTCGCATGAAAAGCTAAAATAGTCACTGCTGAGTACAGGTGCATGATAGACCAAAGCAAAACAAATGCAAATGTGTATAATGTGGTTTTTCAATGCATAAAAAAGAATATATTCTTCAAATTTACACACCAGACGTATTTTAAGCTTCAAATGCGAAAAGGCATTTCGACAAATATGAACATGTAGTTGACAATATATTCCTTAAATGTTTAAGGTTTTCAAAAAATTTCGATAATTTTCAAGTGAGGAAACTGAGATAGGCTTTCTTTTCATTTGCAGACAATTACATTTTAGTAAGAATATTTTTTCTCTATATAACAACATTTTTTCGGAAACTCTCCAATTTTGTCGGAAATTCTTTAAAGCTGGAAATTATTAGTGGTCAGATTTATTCTGGAAATTATAAAGAAGAAAAAATGGGTTAAAAGGATCGGGTAGCTGTCATACAAAACTTAAAATTAATATTAAATATTTAAAATGCTAGCTTTTATACAATGCGACAACTTTATTCAGCCGGCTCACAAGCTCTGACGGTCCCTACAAATCTTAAAGTTAATTTTTTACAAATTTCAATGTCAACATTGAAGTTCTTGCATAACTTTTCGTATGTTTAATAGACTTGTTGTCTAAAATATCTGCAATTTTACAAGTCCAATACCTGAAAATTCTCAGTTGGTTATAGCCACATGTTCGAAAATTTATCATACAGCTTTCATAGCAGATTGTAATGAACAATGGTAAAGATTTAATTAGCATGTTAAGGTCGACTGAAGCACTCTTACTTGTTTAACTAAACTTAGAATGTATTTTTCAAACAATGGGAATAATTGGAATTTTTTATCATTAATATTCTATATATGATTTTATATTTAGTAATTTAATTTTCGATTTTCCATCACAG